CCTCACTTTCCTTGCCTCTAACACTATTCTTGCTTTCATGTTCACCACGACACAATCTTTTCGAATGCAACCGATTTACCATGACGAATTACCCGAAAACCTGAAAATGGTTATACAAGAATTGGATGTTCCTGCATTGGATATGTTCATATATATGCACCGATCCGTACAAGGAGCCACCAATGAACGTGGTCAACACGGCTCGAGTCTCTTTGCCATGAAAACAATTGAAGAATTTGGAAATGGATTGGTGTGACCAGTTAGCTAAAGAGCTCACGGTGGGAAGGGGGGACAAAGGACCTATAATGCTTTTTGACGAATCTCTTTGAAGACAAAACTATTTAATTAAACATTTTATTTTATAGATACTTGTAAAGATAACTTTACATTTTGAATTGGGTTTGGAATGGTAGTTTTAGACTTTTAGGTAAAATATTTGGATCTAAAGAGATATAAATTCTTTAATTAAAAATAAGGAGAAATTAGGTTCTCATCCTTTCTGTTGCTACTCAATTGATTAAAATCCTATTCATTTTCAATTTTTGATCAAGGTCCTTAGGTATTAATAACATCATTAATTATTTCAATAATTTCTAAATATATTCATTTAATGTTAAAAATGTTACAATTAGTATATTTATATTTATGACTAAATTTTTTATCATATATTTTTAGTTTTAGTTTGTACCCATTTTTAATTTGTAATTATTTTTTAATTTGTACCAATTTTCTTTTCAGTTTTAATTTGTACCCGTATATTAATTTCTTTTTGTACCCATATTTTTTTAAAGTTTATTTGTATTTGTACCCATATATTTTTTTTATTTGTACTTTTTATTTTGCTAAATGTACCCATGCTAATTATATGTACCCATTCATGTAAAACTTTTTAATCTTAAAATGTACTCATTCTTAAATATACTAATTTGTTATATGTGAAATGTACCATTTTTTTTTTATATAAAATCTATTCAATTTTTTTCTAATCCATTTTTAAACTTATATGGGTACATTCTTTTTTCTTTGATTTTAAATTGTATCCATGTCAAGTTTAATCGAAGAAATTTACTAATGTTATTAAGCCTAATATCTTTTTTTATTTTGTGATTTTGAAGAATGTACCCATGTTTTGATACAATAATTGTTTTGGTTAATTTTGATGAATGTACGCATGTTTATATACACACACACACAATAGTATATTTATATTTTAATCCCACAAATTATGGTTTTTTTATTTAAAATCTCATTTATATAAACAACTAAAATTTCTAATTTTTAATTTAAAAATTATTGAAACATACATAGAAATAAATTATCACATTAATTTCAGGGACCTCAATCAAAAATTAAAAACCAACAAGGTTTTAATCAAAGAATATTAATAATTAAGGACCGCATCCAAAGTATCCCTAAAAATAATTTGCATATATAGAGAATAAGTTGGATGTAGAAAGATGTTAGATGACTTCAAATAAAATTTCCATAAAGTCAATCACAAGTTTCAAGTCTCCTTCATTCTGAATCCTCTTAAAACCCCGGCATCTAGCCATCCAAAGAGCATCTCGCAGCGCAACACATTCTGCAACATTGTTAGAATTTTCTCCCAAGTTCCTTGCCCCAGCAAGAATAGGCCTGCCATTTTCATCCCTTACAACAAAACCAGTAGCAACATGGTTATTAATTACTGAACCATCAAAGTTTATTTTAAGGTTCCTCCTATTCATATTGTCAAAACATTTAGAATCTTCTTACTGGGCTATGGGCAACGGTATACTACAATTTTGTTGACAATATCTTGATCAGCGAGGTTTGAAAGTGCTATCTATGCAAGCAGTTATTGTTAATGAAATTACTAACTTTCAGACTTGTATCTATGTTATTGATTTGTCTATCCTGCAGAAGATTAATTAGTAGGAAAGGAAAAACTCAATTATGGGTTCAAAAGAGAAACTCTTGCCATTTCCCACTAACCATATGCATCCTTTTTCAATAATATGCCTAGCATTTAAAATTCCTCTTGAAAATGTTTTTGTCTGGTTTTACAATTTAGGAAAGCATCATTTCTTAAGTACTTTCTTTTGACAATATGAACCCACCAATTCTCATCCTCGGTAAACACCCTTCAGCCCAGTCTTGCTAGGCAAGCGTTATTAAAATGATTACTCTTCCTAACACCTAAGCCTCCCATACTTTTAGGGAGACAAAACTTATCCCAAGCTATTGAATGGTTGACGTGAATTTGGAGTCGAATCATGACGATGGTAATTGGGGCCGAAATTTAGGTTTTGATCAGTTGGAAAATTGGGATCTGACTCCGTTTCTTTAGACGATTATCCTGAAATTCTTGAACCATTTCCATTTTGCGTAAGCAAGGCCTAAAGTTGTTCAAGAATCACATCTTGGGTTGCTTTGAAATCGGTTTGCGCGGCCTTGAATTTTTTCACAAAATCCGTCAGTTGCCAAATTGGAAACACCAGACTCCATGGATCTTCGAGATACTTGACGAGTCTAGATCCATGACGCTTGACGAATGATATACTAAGGGTTTGGTTTGGTATTGCTGTGTTTTGAAAAAAAATTGTTTCTGCTGTAATGTAAGAATAAGCAGCTGTGAAATAAAGCTATAGAGTGTTTGGTAAACTTTTTTGTAAAAATGCTTTTGAAAAAAAAACAGTATTATAGTCTTTGGTAAACTTTTGTGTAAAACAAATGTGAAAAAAAAACCGGTTTTTCAAAGCTGGGTTTTGTAGCTTCTTGTTTTTGGCTTTTTTCACCCAAAACTGTGAAGAAAAAAAAGCTGAAGCTGAATGTTTACCAAACACAAAAAAAGCTTTTTTTGATATCATCTTTTTTTCAGAATCACATCAATACCAAACCAGGCCTAAGAAAGTATTCGAGAGAATCGAAGTACTAGCTCGATGCCATTGTTAAGACCCTCACTTATAGACCTGACATTCGTGTCGTGTTTTTCGTGTTCGTGTCATCCCAATATCTTAACAGGTCGTGTCGTGTAACACCCGTTAAAATAAACGAGTAAAATGACCCGACCCGTTACCCGTTAAGGAAGATATATTTTAAACCAATAAATGATCAAATGAAAAACATAATACTAAATAAGTATATACATACCATATTGTTACATCCAAAACATAAAAACACATTTTTCTTTTAAGTATATTTTCACTTACCTAAAGTCTTTAATAGTTTTTTAATTAATGTAGAAGTGTAAAAAAAATATAGAAAAAAATATATAAACGCTCGTAATGACAAGTTTTACAACTTTCATGAAAAGCTTAACTTCGAAATTGGCCACTATAATCAGATAAATCATAGATCAAAATTTAACCGTTGATTGTTGTTTACATTTACACTTCATTGTTCTCATCAAATTTTGTTTCTTCAGATTTTCTTTTTTGAAAACTTGATCTATTAGAGGATGCAGGAAGATGAACGGTTTGGATCGTTGATATTATATTCAGAGTTTTACGGTTAGTGAAAATATTGCTTGATGTTTATAAAGTTTCTACAAATATATGACATCGACTCATATTTCAGTTAATCATAAATATCAAAACGTGATATCAAAGATCTAAACCGTTCATCTTCTGACATCCGCCAGATGATTATGTTTTCAAAAAAAAAAAAAAATTTTAAATGAAATTCAGTAAGAAGAATAAAGCGTAAATGGCAATCGACGGTTAAATATAAATTTAAGGTTTATGAATTATAGTGTTGGATTTTAAAGCTGACCCCTTCATAAAAGTTGTAAAGTTTGTCACTATGAGTGATTGTATATTTTTTTTTACATTTTTTACACTTCTACAATAATTATTATTAATTTTATTAATTTTGCCCTCAAATAAAAAACATTATTCATGAAGGTAGGTTTGGAGGATTTTAAAAATCTAAACGATAATGTAAGTGTAACCATTATCTACTCGTGGAGGAATAATGATGAATCATGAGTGTTTATATATTCTTTCACATTTTTCATACTTGTATGTATGCCTATACAAATACTATATTAGTTTATTTTAATTTTGGACAACAACATGTTAAGTAAAATTTATCCTAGTAATGATAATAAGGAACTCTCATAATAAAAATAAATAATAACTAAAACATTTTTTTAAAACTTATATAGAATAATAATACAAAACTATATATTTAATATAGAATATATTGTATATATTAATATGGCTATTTATAATAAATCTTTTAGTAATTAAACTTTAAAATTATCAAAATAATTTTTTTCTTAACGGGTTACCCACGTGTTACCCGCGTGTATACCCGTTAAAAACCCGTTATTAATAATGACCTGATAAGTTATCCTGTTGACCCGAAACCTGTTATTTTCGTGTTATGTCAGAAATTGTCGGGTCTACTCACTTACCAGGAAAGAGGAATACTCCTAAATCATAATACTAAATGGCATAAGTCACCTTTTTATTGACTGAACAACTTTTACAAAAATATACCCTTCATCACTTAGAATTTCTATTTTATACAGAAAGTAACCGACTCACTAACTAAACAGCCACCCAAAATAGAATTTAATTATCAATGACAATGACCTAGATGCACAAAGCTAGGGCTCTAACCATTCAATACCACGGTCTGGTAGTATTCCTTTTCGCTTAAAAATAAGAGGTCTTAAGTTCGAATCTTATAAATAGCGAATTCAAAACCAAATTAAACTGTTCATTGTGTGGCTTAACCAACTCCCCTCCCCTTAGTGTAAAAAATATCGATGTACTAAAAAAAAACCCAATCGAACAACCAAAATAAAACCACTTCGCACAAATAGGTTGATAGTTTGAATTAGGGTATCTTTGGATAGGAAGGTGCAGCAGTATTTACCAAAAGAGTTTTTCATTTTTTGAAAGCTAAAAGTATTTACCAAACAAAATTTTCATTTAAAAAAAAATGATTATCAAATGAATCTCCAGCTTCATGATTTATCGTTTTGCTTCTCGGTCTTTGATACTAAATGATTCAACTTCACACATATTAGCTTCGAAGAAGGGTAAACAGTGGAAAGATGGAGGATGCTGAAATTTGTAGCACTATAATTTGTGTAGATTCTATCCCTTAGCGTTCAGTTCCATCCGCTGTAACACAATGCACAACGGTTTGAGTTAAACCACCAGGTTCGACTCCTTTACCTGCGGCTTGACAATGAACATTCACATTCAGGTTCGTATTCAACCCACATCATTAAAATAGTCACACGGAAATCGGCCATTAACCCGAAATTGAAAATGCAACCTAATCACTACCAGCCAGGCCAACTAGTTGAGAAATTTCATCTTCAAGGCGAGAAAAGCTCGTCAAGAACTTGTCGTGAAGTTCATTGGAGCAAAATTGCGTTTGCTGCCACTGGGACAGACCATCAACAATAACCTTCATACCACTCCCTAGCAATTCCATTCCCTTCCTAATTCCATCCGGAAGTTTCCTTTTCTTATTGGTTTGCTTCCCGCCATTGATCTCCGTTTGCTTTTCACAGTCGATTTCCATGTTGTCACGTTCTGAAGTATCCACAATGGTATCTGAAATCTTCTGAAACATTTCTTTCAGAGTTAGACCCTCCCTCGCAAGCAGACCAAGCTGGTCAGAACAAGGTGTCGTTGTAAGAAGCGCTGTTTCCTTCTCGAGATATATCTTAAACTCAGACATGAATCTCTCCACAGTTGCCTCATTTCCAGATTCTAAATCATATGAAAGCGCTGCAGTCTCCGGCACAAATCTCCAAAGCTCATTGCAACCAGTCCGAGCAGAAAAGTATCCAAATGCTGTAATAGCCAAGTGAATAAATGCCCAATGCCGTTCACTCAACAACATGTGATACAACTCCCAGAGAGTAGAGATCTTTGCACTTTCATTAGTTTCATTGATTTCCATATGAGCAAGGCCTGCCATGAAAAGAGCCAGATTTGGTTTGCATTCATACAATTGTGTATCAGAAGCTGCACCAGATCCTGAGATAAACAGGTTTTTGAGCTCAAAGATTACTTTCTCCATTTCGTCAGATGCATATAGGTGCTTCATTTTTGAGATGATTACCAATGTTTCACTCAAAAGCTTACGGTAGTGGTCCTTCATTAGTTTGTCTGAAGACACTATGTAGTTATGAATGATAGAAACTAAAAGCTTCAGAGTCTTCACATCGATATCGGATATACTGATCCGGCTACAGGAGAAGGAAAAGCTTCATTAAATATACTGGTTAATGAATGCAAATACAAAAGGTAGACAATAAAGTGAAGAGAAAGATTTAGCCGCGGTTTTGGAAATGGATAGAGAAAGGAAAGCACCCACAAAAGAATATAAAAAAGCAATTATGAATAGTGATGTTGTCACACTGAAATTATTCAAGCAGTGGATGCACCAAAGAATAAAGTTATTGAACCAAGAGTAGAGTTATTCAAGAATGCATAAAAAGGTTTCTTGTTACTTACAGAGACTCCAATGAAGCAGACAAAGCAAACACTGGGACGCCAAAAACACCGGAACCAGAAGATCTCATAGATTTGTCATCAAAATTTTCAATGAAGACATAGTAATCAGTAAGGATTCTTTGAGTTGCAATACTTTTCAACTTGTCAGAGAGTAAATTCAGTGGAAATCCTTCCATGAATAAGGCTAGACGTATAACTGATGACGACTGAATTCCCTCATCACTAACAATGGACATGTAAACCTGGTCTACGATAGATGGTGAGCCAAAAGTAAGAAGCATGCTGATTGATCTTGCCAATTTTCGCAGAGCAGAACCAGGTACAAGAACTGATTCAGAAGATGCCACTAACTTCAGTAATGAGCAGAGTTTACCAATAATGCCACTCACCGTCCCTGGCTCAGCATACCGCAGCATAAAGCACCAAAGTTCCATCACAACCTCCCAGCAAAGGAAGTGAGGATGAAATATATTCTCAAGAAGGAAAGCCTCCAACTCCCTCCAAACAGGAGTCGAAGAGACCACAAGCATGAAGATTTCCAATGCATTCAAAAGTGAAGAAAACATAGGCTGCCAGGCAACTACCACAGTTTCTCCAGAACCATATAACACGGGAACTTGCAAAAGCAAAATGGAAGAATATACCTCTTCATCAATTAATATATCCAAGAACCAACCAAGCTTTCTAGTAATCCCAAGTTTTACATCTTCTTCAAGATCAACAGAAAATTTCAACAAACTAAGAAATAACGAAACACGACCAAGCAACAAGGCTCTTTCTCCAGGCAATGCTTCCCCAAATAAAGAAATAATTTCATCCAACGAACTTATCTTATTAAATTTACTCATATCTCCAGAGCTAGTATCTGTGTAGCTTCCTTTACCGAACAGAGAATCTAGAATCTCAACCTTGAACTCCTGCTTCACTTGAGATGAATTCAGTAACGAAAATAGTAAATCCAAGGATGCTTTCTCCAAGAGTTCTACGAAAACTTCAGCGGCGGTTTTTAACAGTTTTTCATTGCTCAATGAAATTTTGAAGGTTGAGATCATCAGGATGCAATTTGTTATCTCCCTTTGTACCAGATATGCTTGACACGGATACAGGGTAGATATTTTTATTGCATTAATCAGATAAAACTTTATTGGAAGAAATGTCTTCCTAGCTTCTGTCACTGAAATGGCATCATTCAAAGACGATGACCAAGCCTCAGCTGCGCATTTTAAAGATTCATTGACCAGTGAGATTAGATTTGAAACTATATCAGCTACATTCACCTTTGTTGCGAATACCCCCTCACCAAGCTGAAGTAGACTGACTACACCTTTCCATGTAAAATTGAGAACCTTTACCAGACTGCCTCCATTATTAGCAGCAACAACGCCTATCTCACACAATTTTTCTATTGTATACTTTATTACAGTAATAACGTGATTCATATTACTGACCCCTTCAAAATGCGTTCCAGTTTTGTCCCTCTCAAGCTTTTCTTCCCAAGACTCCCAATTTACAGCTCGAGCATATGCTCCACATAGTCTTATTACAGCATCAATGACCTCCAACATGACCTTTCCTACAGATTCAAATGGCTCAATTCTCTGCATTTAGACGTTAGAAAGGCTCGTGTGAGACGTGAGCAGTGTTTTAAAATATATAATAATTAGGTTCAATAAAACGTAAATATATATTACACCAACATGTAAGTCACATGTCAGTGAAGGAAATTAAGGCAGCCAAGGATTCTCCTCCCTCATATCAGAAGTTCAAAGATGAACATCAAACTCACTCACAACATATGTACAAGTTTTCCATAAATAACAATATACGAGCACAACTTTTTTGCGCTTGAATTGTTTAGTCATGAAACTTTGGTCCCACATTTGTCAAATTGCCATTTAAACAGTTACTGAAAATGTGCCCTACACTTGATATGCATCAGTCGTGCACAAGTGCTCAATGTGCCTCCGATTTGCACAAGTTAGTGAGAAACCATAAGACTGGGTCAGATATGAGTGGGGGATGAATTATTAACAGATCCAAAGATAACAAAATACTGTATGACCCATTTTAAAAGCACAGGGTCCATTTAATAAATATAACAGGTTTCTCTGTCTGTTATGGAGAGCGGATAATTCAAGGTAAGTTTAAGTAGTTTAGGAACTTAAAGAACAAGATATTTCTAAAACAAACAAATAGCTATGTAAAATTATTTATGGAATCCCTAGGTATATTTGAGCCGAACTCATTAGCTATAAGATATATTCAACACTCTAATACCCAGTCAAAATTCCCAGGCACATCATTGTTGCCTTAATGTTAATCTTAGCTTCTTTCGTTATATTAAACATCAGAAATTCTCTAGTCCTGATTCCTGACTCACGAAGTACTTAGCAGTATTGGATTTGGCAAACCATTTCTTAGGCTATTACGAAAATTCATTCCACAAAGAAAATATTTATCAAGTAATATCCAATTCAAAAATGTCCAAAAGAAAAATTTGAAGACATCGTTTTCATTAATCGTTTTGTAGTGTCTTGAAGTTGTGACCTCTTTGAAAACAAAGTAGTACATAACATATTTCTAGTAGATAAACTAAGGTTCTTATATTAGAATAAATTATCATAAAGATTAGCACAGGAAACACAGTGCAATTAATAAGTACCTTAATCTCTGATATTGAATCTTTGATCAAGTTTAACTGTTCCACTAAGAATTTCTCAACAATATCCATTGACAGCTTGTTGGTAGAAACAGGAAATCTTGCCAAAGCTGAGAAACTAACACCAGAGAAGCTCAGAAGATCCAGAAGCAGCTGCAAAAATAAGTACAAGAAGAAGAAAACTGAATTTTTACAGGACAGTTGGTGCACCATGCAGCAGACAGATGATGTAAGCAGGTCATGCATGTGCTACTTAATTTTCTTGTGTATATACTAACATCTGCCATGGGAAATACCAGCAACAAAAAGAGTGAAAAGTTGCACATGACAACGCGTCAATGAACTTCAGAACTAAGCCCATTAAAGAAATAAACACCATATACAGCCTCGAATAAAAGGTATGGCTTGGTTCAAGAGTAAAATGGAAGCTAATTGTAGACATTCCAAGACAAAATTTTCCAATCATTTTTAACTAGGGAGAAGTCTCCAAGTATAGAAATCTGTCAAATTAGCATTCAGGTTAAGACAAAGGATGTTTTCTTTCTGCAAGCACAAAGAAAATTGACAGTCTCCACTATTCTATACCTCAAAGAACAGATTGTCGTGCTCTTCCTCTTGAGACTCCACACTCGACATAAGAGTCATTTTTAGGTGTTTACCACACCATATGTTAGCCTGACAGATAAATAATCCTCAAAAAGTTAGAATTTTAGATACCCTGGTCCCATTGAGGAATAAGAAGAGTACACCCTTGCTTTTAATACAAGCACACTGCATGAAAAGGCATATTACCTTGGTCCCAAGGGCAAGGAAATGTGCTAGAGCGTTGGATATGTCAGATTCTAGGTGTTTTACAGCCACATGTAATATAGCCTTGTTTAACATGCACTGGCTTACATCCAAGCAAGTATACTCCTCCCAAAATGTCAAGCTTGTTGTTAAGAATAACAATGAACAAATACAAAATATGGCGAACTGGTCATGAGAAGATTGCAAATCGAACTATGACCATTTGTATCTCTTAGCAATTTCATGTCCTACAACATTGCATGAAACAAAACATACAGGCCATCATAGACGCATTGAAAAAGTAATCGATCACATGCCAAAGCTTTTGCCATAAACCCATAACAAAGTTTATGCAGCAATATCGATAATAAAAACCTCCAGCGGACATTATAAAAATCATTCCTCAGATTTTCTCTGAATTTGGGTCAACAAATGATTATGCAATGTGCCTGAAAAGTAAAGGTCCTTTAAAACGAAAATTTACATCTCCATCGCAATCATTTCATAATTGTTAAACATCGAACGAAATATGATATAAATTAAACGAAACATATTATTAATAAAATGTAAAGAGCATTGAATTGGATACTGTGAGACATTTCGCAAGGGATGCCAATTCAGATTTCTCTGTAATGTTCAACTCACCAAGCTTCCCCAGTAGTTCAATACGATTCTCCACTACCTGCAGAACACAAAATTTTCAATCCACGTTAAATAAATAGTAAAAACGTGAACTCAAAACATAAAAACAAAAGTAACCACATCAAATTCTTAAATTAATGCACACAAAATAATAACTATTCAATATTTCCCAAAGAAATTGAAAATATTTAACGATTTTATAAAAATCGAGTTCAAATTTTCGTCACACTACTATGAAAACCCTAGCTGAACAGTGCAGGACCAAAAGCTGAGAGTGAGAGAAACGAGAACGAACTAGAAAATGGAAACCCTAAGGTTAAAATTGAATTCAGTGAAATTGGGAAATGGAAAACTGGAATTGCTTACGTCCGAGGATCTAATGGCGTCTTCTATGCTCTGCAATTCGCTGCTTGAGCTCCCTCCTTCCATCTCTCTCTCTCTCTTTCTCTCTCTGCTACTGAATTTTGGTTTCCCGCCTTTTTGAAAAGAAAAGCTAAACAGCTAGCGCAGAGGACCGTATTTACCAGTTATTTTAGATATAAAAAAATATTGAGACTATGGGCCTTTTGGTGTATGGACTAAAGCTAAAGAATTGGGCTTTGCTTATGGACTTTATCGTAGATGGGTCCATTCTTTTTTTTTCTTTTCTTTTTTTGAGAAAGTATGGGTCCATTCTTAAAGGGGCCGAGTTGAAGTAGGTCAAGAAGAAGGGGCAGCTCATTCCACTCTTAATCAATGAGTTTGTTGTTAATTGTTTTGGGGTAAAATTGGATTAATGGTCTTGTTTGGAAGATAGTTCATGTGGTAAACAAATTAAGATTTTAAACCCTTGTGGTAAAACCCATCACCTTCCCCTCTTTATATATATTCTTAAAGCCAACTTTCTCTCTTCTCGAACTCGCTATTAGCAAACCAGCGTTCAAGGTCATTCCCATGTCTTTTCTCCCAATGACCCACCCTTCTCTCACACTCTCAAGGCCGATTCCTCAGTTACGTTTTCTACAATCTCTAATTCCATTTCACATGGTGGCATCAGAGGCGACGTTAAGGGGGAGCAAAATGTGCAATCGCACAGGGCCCCAAATTTGAAGGACCCCCAAAAAAATTTGGGTATCTTATATTTATTTTTTGAACAAATGATTATTTATACTAAGGGGGTGAAAAGTGGGCTAAACCTTACAATGGGCTAGCAATAATATGGTTGAAATTCGCTTTTGGCGAGAATCAAACTTAAGATTTCTTACTTACAAGTGAAGAGGAATACCACTAGACCATAGTATTAAGTAGCGATATCTTATATTTATATGTAATAATGTTATATATTAAAAAAAATTACATTTATTAGCACTTTAAAATCTCATAGTGCACTTCTTATAAGTGTAAATTTTTTTCTTTCTAAATTTAAAAATTTGGGGTGCACATAAGAGATTAGAAGTGTAACATCCCACATCGGCCAGGGGAGTGTATCCTGTAAGCCTTATATGTATATTCTCATCTCTACTTAGCACGAGGCCTTTTGAGAGCTCACTGGCTTCGAGTTCCATCGGAACTCCGAAGTTAAGCAAGTTCGCGCGAGAGCAATCCTATGATAGGTGACCCACTAGGAAGTTCTCGTCTGAGTTCCCAGAAACAAAACCGTGAGGGCGTGGTCGGGGCCCAAAACGGACAATATCGTGTTATGGCAGAGTCGAGCTCGGGATGTGGTAGGGGCCCGGGCCGGGATGTGACAATTTGGTATCAAAGCCACTTTGTCGTTCAGTGCGAGTGTGCCGACGAGGACGTCGGGCCCCTAAGGGGGGTGGATTGTAACATCTCACATTGCCCAAAGGAATGGATCCTGTAAGCCTTATATGTATATTCTCATCTCTACCTAGCACGAGGCATTTTGGGAGCTCACTGGCTTCGAGTTCCATCGGAACTTCGAAGTTAAGCGAGTTCGCGTGAGAGCAATCCCATGATGGGTGATCCATTGGGAAGTTCTCGTCTGAGTTCCCAGAAACAAAACCGTAATGGCGTGGTCGGGGCCCAAAGCAGACAATATCGTGCTATGGCGGAGTCGAGCCTAGGATGTGGTGGGGGCCGAGGCCAGAGCCGAGATGTGACAGAAGTTTCAATAACACCTTAAAAATGATTTTCTTTTCATTTTATTATATAATAATGCTATATATTTAAGTGAAACTTTAAAGTTAGAGTTTTTGAAGTTTTTTTTTGTTCTTATTTGGTTGCCTAAGATTATACTGCTTTTAAGCATTTAGTGAAGGTTATGTTTGTAACTCTTTTTACTTATTATTTAATGACATTTGTAAACTTACAATTAGTGAATCCTAAAGTTTGTTTTGATTTAAGTTATTACTTTCTAGTACCAATATATTGTCCTAAAAATGAGCTATTTTATAAATTTCGCACAGAGCCCCCGAAATCTCATAGACGGCCCTGGGTGGCATCTTTGGCAAACCCATGAGTTTGATTTCTACAGTATTTTTTATTTATTATCTAGCTAGGTCTCAGCATGCTTCGATAAAAGATTGAAGAAGTTGGAAGATAGAGGCCAATGGATCAATTTCATCACCTCTACTACCAGCAAGTCCTTTTCACCATCCATTGGAGTTAATTTTAAACAGTTTTGTATAGCCCAGTAGCTGAAAAAATAAGGCTAGACACAATTGCTATGATTGTTTATATTCTCCCTAGAAAAATGGTTGAAGATAGAGGAGAGGAGAAGGTGAAGCTACAATTAGAGAGTGAGGAGAGACGAAGAGAGAAGAAGGTAAATAGAAGAAGGGAAAATTTGAAAGAGGTCCAATTTTAAAGCCCATCTTTTGAAATAGGTCCAATTTTTAATGACTTTTGACTTTTGAAATAAGTCCAATTTTTAGTCCAATTGGACCCATATCAAAAGACCCCAAGAGTGAGGCTGGACAATTTTATCCCCACACATAATAGTAGGATATAAAATATATGATTGTCATTATAAGTATATCTCATTTAATAATACACTTTATTGAGAGATATCCTAGTAGCTATATAAGGATTGTTTATGCTTTCACAATACGCGCACTATTCCAATGCTAAACCCTATTCACTAACAATGTATTTTAGATCGTAGAGAACACTACTACAAAAGGACCTTATAGTGTCGGTCGTTGGTGTCGCTTTTATAAAACATAGTGGCACTTAAGACATTCCGACACTTACTTTACATGGTGTCGGAATTACTGTCGCTTATAACCGACATAAACTGTTAATGTCGCTTATAATCGACATAGATTTTAATATTTTTTTAATAGTGGTGTCGCATTAAAAAAAACCGTGTTTCTTTTAACCGACATAATGTCAGCGTCGGTTAAAAGAAGACTAGTGTTGCTTTTTTTCGACACTGATGATAGTTTTTAAATATTTTCAAAGCCAGTGTCAGTTGTAGCTGACATAAGTTTTAATTTTTATTAAATATTTTGAAATTCGGTGTCACTTGTAATCGACATAAATTTAGCGTCGGTTAAAAGAAGACTGGTGTCGCTTGATTATATATATATTAAATTTTAAAAATTGGTGACCATTGGATCGGCTTAAATATACATACTAATTTCAACGATCCAACCGTCAAACTTCTTTGTATATGCTTCAAGATCGCATACGCCAAAAATCACAAAAAACAAACATTCAGAGATCAAGTAACGGGACAAAACTTTTTTACGGTTATCAACGAAAAATCACGATTTAATGGTTATTTTAACTCCGATTTTGATGATTTTTTACAGACACACTCCTTGACCTTATATGAATACAATGAATGAACTCGATCTTCAATTTAAAATATTTACACTAGTGGATGCCACAAAATCTTATATTATACTTAATGAAAGTATGAATAAACTCTTAAGTGTTAGTGAATCTATTGTTTTGATGGGATACGCATTTTACGAAACTAGTTTCAACGATCCAACCGTCAAACATGTTTGTATATACTTCGAGATCGCATATGCCAAAATCGCAAAAAACAAACATTCAGAGATTAAGTAACGGGACAAAACTTTTCGATGGTTATAAACGAAAAATCACAATTTAACGGTTATTTTAACTCCGATTTTGATGAATTTTTACAGCTACACTCCTTAATCCTATATGAATACAATGAACTAATTTGATCGTCAATTTAAAATATTTACACAAGTGGATACCACAAAATCTTATGTCATGATGATTGTTGAAAATGGAGGATTTTGTAAAAGGAATAACATGCAATCTTTGAGTTACATTGGCAAGGTTTAAACTTTTGAGAAAGGCTTCACAACCTTGAAAACAAAAACTCTTTCATTTTGCATATCTTTGCACATTTAATATTTTGTAATAGACTAGTAATGTATGGATGTTTGTTTATTGGACTCTTTTTTTCGAGTGTAGATGTAGTACTTAAACGACAAATGTGTTTTAATGTTTTGAAGTAATATTTATGTGGCAATGTGTGGTATGTGCAAATTTAAGAATTTTTTTTTTCTTAACTGGTCATACGGGTTGGGTAAAGTGACTCGACTTATCAAGGACCCGTTAAGATAACGGGTGTGACACGACACGACCTGTTAAGATAACATGTGTTACACTATAATGACTTGACCTGTTGAAGCCCTATGTTCGTAATAAGGGTCGTCCTGAAGGTTCTATTGCTGAAGCATATTGGTGGATGAGTACTTGTCCTTCTGTTTTATGTGTTTTAAGTATTAATTAGACTATATATTTTTTTATTACGTATTTTATTTAAGTTCAATTTTATTTAATAAAATCTTAAAATGTTATATGAGGTTTTTTTTTGTATGGGGACATTTAAAAAAAAAATTTCCTATCGCTTTTATGCGACGGCATTGGTCAAATAATTTGAAATACTCTAGGCGGGAAGTTTCCCGCTTGTTTTTGCACGAGTTAGTGTTGATTTTAAGCGACGCCAAGTACATTTAATTCGACTCAAGTTATATTAAATTCGATGTTAGACATGTAATGTCGATTGGAACAGACGCTACTGTCTTTTAATTTGACGCCAGCTTCATTTATTTCAATGTCATGTGGGTAGTGTCGGTTAAAAGCGACGTGAATTTGACTTGGGAAGAGGAATTTCAATCAGTCACCTCGGAAGTTGTCTGATATCATGTCGTTTTAAACCGACGCCAAATAAATTTAAACCGACAAAATGTGCACTTCATTAAAGCTTATTAGACTATGGTGTCGGTTTGAATCAACACCAAGGTTAACTAAAGCAACGCCATGTGAATTTAAAAAAACTATGTCAGAAAGTGGTTGTTTGATTTAATGTATCAATAAAGTGTGTCAGTAGTGGTGTCGGTTTAAACCGACACCGAGTTTAACTAAACTGAAGCCACATTTGGTCCAATAAATGTTGTCAGAAAGTGGGTGGATTTAATTCGACATAATGCATGTCAGAAGTTGGTGGCGGTTTCAACCGATACTAAGGCTCACTTATTTCGATGTCAGTGGGTTTTAATACGACGTTAGGGACTTAATGTCGGTTTCAACCGACGCCAACACAACATCCATATTTAAACCCCCTTTCCCCCCCATTTCATCTGTGCTTTCATTTTTTCCCAAATTTCAATCTCTCCTTCTCCCTCCAATTTCGTCTGTACTTCCATTTCATCTCCCTTTTCACTTTTTAGTTTTTGTACTTCTTCTTGCAGATTGTTTTGCTATAGATAATTTTGAAGATGATCATGATGACGAAATCTAATTCGAAGAGGAAGAAGTCTATGGTGGGCCATTTTTAATTATGGTTATTAGTTTTAGTATTTTGTTTTGTAGTCTAACTAGTATGATGCCCAAATTGAAAATTGTTTTTTGGTCCTTGGTTTTAATTGTTTTTTTCTGTATTTATAAGGATCAACTCAACGAGGACGGGGACCCTCAATTCCCAATTGGAAGGAACAACCTTGTTCTTTTGATGCTTCTGGAAAATGCATTAGTGAAAATTCTAGTGCTTTTTCAAAACATGTAGCGGCGGAGGTTAGAGATTATAGAAATATTCCGTTGGTGAGAGATTGGCGTATGATCAAGGAATATCGTATGGAAGCTTTCTGGAATAGAATAAAGGTATAAATATTTTTTGTTACTTGAAGAGTGTATAATAAGTCAATGTTTATAGTAATAATTAATTTGCTTGAATTTTTTTTATGAGTATAGGAAACTATTATTTTTCAAGAAGAGGATATGACGAAAATGCCAATGATCCGTCACATGACACTTCATATTGCGGAGCATGCGCATAAGGAGTATAGAAATAAATTAAAAAAAAAAAAACAGTATACTGATAAACCGGTCAAGGAGCACGAGAACACACCTCTTAATTAAAAACTGAGGAAGATTTATTAAATTTTTTATTTTTAATATATCTAGTGTCGCTTATAAGCGACATCATCACCTATGTCATTTTTATTGAGATGTTACATAATGTCGGTTACAACCGACAACAGCTTGACTATTTTATTTATTTAAATCAAGTGATGTCGGTTGGAAGTGACAGTAACTATGATATTTTAATTGTTTATTTGTTACTTAATGTCAGTTTGGAGCAATGCCTTTGTTCCTTTCTATGTCGCTTATAAGCGACGTCAGTTCCTATGTCAGTTTTAAGCGACACCTTTGTTCCTTTTTATTTTATATTACTTTGCTTCATGGTGGCAGATTAAGGGGTCTAAGCGACGTCAATACCCTTTTTGTGATGGTAGCATTGGTGTCGGTTCCTCTATCTGACATTGCACAATTTAATGTCGGATTTTTACCAATAATTCGACAGTAAGTAGTGTTTCTTGTCGTTTTTACTCCGACAGTAATATCCCCTTTTGTAGTGAGTAGAAGATAATTATACGTTCTCCAACACCAACATTTCTCTGTATTCTACAGATAAGTTACATCTCTATTTATATTGATTTCATTCATTATATATTCGTGATCTTAATATCTTGTTGTTGTGTTTTTTAAAATATGTCTTATATAACAATGTTGGAGCGTGATTTCTTCGTGTCATTGTTCAAAATTGATTGTTTTGAGAGAGAAAAGATGTTTAATAGTGATGTTTATAATAAAGGAATTCTCTAATCGACAAACACAACTTCATAAATATAGAGTTGAATAGTATACCGACAAAGCACTATTTTTTGATTTTTTTAAACTAACTAATACAAGCACTACTATATATAGTGAAAACTAAAGCAAAATCCTAATCCTTAAAGGATATAGAAAACTCTAATAAACCCTAAATCCTAACCCTTAAAGGATATAGAAAATTCTAATATCCTTGTCCCACAAGAAAACCATAAACAAAAATAAACTAATAAATAATTTCCAACACCCCCGTCAAACTCATGGTGGTACACGTCATGAGTTTGCCAACAAGTAGATGCAGATGCAAGACTCCAAATTCCAATGCTAGTACCAGTGCCAATGCCAATGCCGATGCTGATGCCGATGCCAATACCAATGCCAATGCTAATGCCAATACCGATGCCAATTTCAAGCTACCATGCCCAATCATCTTTTCTAGATTCAGATTCTGAATCAGTTGCAATATGCAAAATAGAAGGTACGATTGCTGCTGCTGCTGCAAGTGGTGATTTCTGTGAAAATTCACGTTGTTGAGATAACTTAGGACATTGGGATTTCCAATGCCCTTTCTCCTCACAATAAGAACACTTATCCATAGCAACACCAATTTTAATGCGAGGTCTCAGCCCAATTGCCGCAACCAATGCTAAAGTGTTTGATAAAGATGAAGAAAGCCTATGCTACTGCACACAGACTTCTTCGGCTTGTAACTCATTAAGAACATAATCAACAAATGGAAGAGGAGTTCGATGTAGGATGGAGCTACAGAGTGTCTCGAACTCATCCCGAAGAGGCATTAGAAACTGAACAAGACGTTGTTCTTCTCTATATTGACAATAGAGCTCGACAATGCCAAGTCCTTTAGGTTCAGTCAATGCAAGTTGATCCCAAAGATTGATCATTTCATTATAAAAAACTTGAATACTCTTATCACCCTGCTGGATTGCACGAATCTCCATTTCTAATTGATACCTCTTAGCAAAATTGGCCTTGGTATACAATTTTGCCAAGTGATCCCAAACTTCCTTAGACTTTGAGAACTTAGCAAGTTGCATTCCAATAGTCAAATCAACAGAATTCTTAATCCAAGTAATAATCTTTGAATTATTCATCTCCCATGCAACAAACAATTCAACATGTTTCTCATCTTTGGGGTTATTTGGATGGAAACCATTCCAGAAACATAGCCCCACAAACCTTTTCCAATCAAGAAATTCTTCATGACATATATCCAATACACATAATTATTACCATTCAATCTCACACCAATCGCTTGCAGTGAGTCATCCTTAGTTGTCATATTCAGCGAACCAAAAAACAAAGACAAAGTGCACAATACTGACAATAGTTTGGTGTAGGTTGCAGACTGATGCAAGCAAATCTGATTATGGGTAGCAGGTTATGGGTTGGGTTCACAATAGAGTAGCGAAAGATGGTGGTAGGGTGAAAGTTGGTGGTTCAAGCAGCAGCGATGGCGGACGGTGTGAGACAAACGAATCAAACTGAACAAACAAGCTATCAGATGGACAAATAATCTACGAGACAGGTCCTCACGAACCTGCTCTGATACCAAGTTGAATAGTATACCGGCAAAGCACTATTTATTGATTTTTTTTAAACTAACTAATACAAGCACTATTATATATAGTGAAAACTAAAGCAAAATCCTAATCCTTAAAGGATATAGAAAACTCTAATAAATCCTAACCCTTAAAGGATATAGAAAATTCTAATATCCTTGTCCCACAAGAAAACCATAAACAAAAATAAACTAATAACTAATTTTCCAACATATAGTACACACATGAAATCAACTTGGAAAAGTAGCAACACAAATAGAGTGATTACATATATGGAAAAAGCTGCATATAGTTGGAATAACTTTATTCACTATGGCATATAGTAGAAGCCTAACTAGAAACAGTGGTACACCCACACAATACTTTCAAGTAGCTAGAACTTTAGAAGCGAACACATAACATCAATAGCCTGGTGAACTCTTCCTGTCTAATTTCCTAGGACTGCCACCACCAAAACCAGCTCCACCTCCAAAGCCAGAGCCAGTACCACCGGCTCTACCAGCTCCACCACCTCCGCCAGCACCTCCTTCACCACCATTGGTTCCATGGCCATACCCACTGCCATAACCATAACCTGAGCCTTCACTTCCTCAACCGGCACAGCTCCCACCACCACCACCCTGTCCTCCACCGCTGGCAATGGAAGGAGACAGCGTAGGAGTTGGTATATTAGGAGGCAGTGGAGGGCTGTCAGAGAAGGCCAAGCCTATGAAAAGAAAAAAGGTCACAGAGATCATTAGTATACGAGCCATGTCCATTAGTCTCAACTCGATCTAATTAAAAGTTGGGTCGTTGCCTGCATGGTACGCATGAGCTCTCTATATAGGAGGAAGCAGTATGGAAACCGAAGTCATGACTCACCATATGCGGCAAATTTAAAATAACATAATATTATTTAGACATACAAAATTGATCACATTACCAATACAAGATTTTTAACTTTGGTTTTTATCATTATATGTCGGGCTCATTTGTTTCAGAAAGTGTTAGCAATATGGTTGATTTTGTATATTTAAATAGTATGTATGTTTGTCATGCAATACAACGTTTTACTTGTAAGTGAAAGTTCTTAAATTCGAATTTCATAAATGACAAATTCAATACTAATTTATCTCCACGATTTAGTGTAATTATATTATCATATAAATGTAGAAAAACAGACTGTCGAAGGTTTTGTTTATATAGAAAATGAAACTGGTCATTTAGAATTGTGACACCCTGTTTATTGAATTTTTGAGGTGACAGGCGTTACAGTCAATCACTACCAATGACCCTGATCTGCTAGCATGGCTAATACGATGCAATGCGCAGGAAATCTGCTCATAGCACGTAACAACTTACAGGAACATTGTCATTTTTCCTAGAAAAAGAACATTCAAGGCGGAGTGCGTACTTGAATATATTGACAATAGAGCAGAAAAACGGGGTTTTGATTAGCTTAGTTAACCGAAAGGTTCTAAGAAAAGTATCATATATTTATTAGATGAGTGGTGCTATTCACACACTCTTTTTTACCTTTCATACACACCTCAATTTTTGGTATTCTGATCAGATGAATTGAAGATGATCAAATGATAAAAATTAATATGGAGTGTGTGAAAGGTAAAAAGAAATGTGTGAATAACACCACTCTATTTCTTTATATTTTGCGATATGTATGAAATTTGGTTTAAATAACTGATACATAGTTGGGGAAGAAATTTGGCACTCTGGCATATGGCATCATCTGAACTCATACTCCCCCATTCTATGTATGTATGACAATATGAGGTAGAACTTGAAGTAATTGAACTTTCTACCACCCGATTCAAAGTAATTAACTTTGAGAGAAGCTACTTAGTACTCCTGTTTGGTGGTATTTGTCTTCACTTGAAAGTGAGAGGTTTTAGGTTGGAATCTCATGGATGGCGAATTCGAAGTGAGAGGTTTTAGGTTGGAATCTCATGGATGGCGAATTCGATACCAAATTAGGTTGCCCATTATGTGATTTAGCCAAACTCTCTCTTCCCTTAGTGTAAAAATATCGATGTATTCAAAACAAAACAAAATAAATAAATAAACTTTGAGAGAAGATGTTAGTAATTGAAGTTTTTACCACCCGATCAAGGTAATTGGCTTTGAGTGAGATGTTCACATATAGAAAAATCCGAACATCCTATCTCAAAGATGGTATCCAACATTTTCCATTTTTCAGGTTTTAATAAGCAGCCAAGCGAAAAATCAATCAAATTGTAACTTTATTATCAGTTCCTTTCTAATGATCACCAAACATTCATACATAGTTGATTTTTTTTTCCTTTTTCAAGAATGACACTTGAAGAATGATCTATAATATAGTTCAGGAAGAATGTTTACATTATTTTTTAACTAATTAAGACACCCTCACTTGGAAATTATTCAATGTAAATAACAACCTAACTACAACTATACTTAGAGTTGCCTTGAGCTTATTTAAAAAAATGAAAAAAATAATGCTAGAGAGACTATATTTTGAGAGACTACATTGTACTGTTGTTTTATTAGAGTTAAGGCCCAAAAATAGGTCTGATTTCATTTTGAATAAGTGGTACAAAGTGAGTCCCCTAGCATTTTTTAAAAGAAAACACAACTTTTTTGGACAAATGATATTATCTACACTAAAAAGGTGGGCTAAGCCTCACAATGAGTTACCAATAATGTGGTTCAAATTCGTTTTTGACGAGAATCGAACCTAAGACTTTCTCCAAATGTTTTTTCTCTATTATAATTCTACATATTTGAATTACTTTGTACTTCTTTAGGTATTTTTCTCCATTGTACTTTAAATTAATGTTTAAACATTTTTAAAGGGAAAAGTACCATCAATCATCAATTATCAACGTTTAAACTATTTGATACAGAAATGTAAAGTGGTCTGATCTCGTTAGTTTATAGTAACACAGACACACAGACTGCTGCATGGCATGTACAAGCCGTACAGGTGGTATCCATGCAAATGGAAGTTCAGTATAGATCCATAAATATTAATGGCAGCAGCACTGCCAAGATGAAGAGACCTAGACAAATTAGTTGAGATCAATTAATTTCAGATTTTCTTTTTCACAAATGATATTAATATATCTTAAATTCCTCTAAATTATGGAGAGGTGGGAAAATTTAAATCCGGAAAAACAATAAATAATTTACATTAAATTTATCTGAACTATGAGAAGATGCGAGTCTTTGAACCTAGAATGCGAACGCATGAAAATCATAGTTCAGATGTGAGTCTTTGGACCTAGAACTCGAACTTAGAAAAATCTATATCATCATTCTTCAGTAATCCAGATCAATTAAATTTGTTTCAAATCATAATTTCCTCCACAAATTAATTAATTAATGTAAATCTAGCAAAAATTAATTAATGTAAAACCAACAAGACATGAGATGACATTGAAGTGTAAATTTACATTAAATTTACCTGAACTATGAGAAGATGCGAGTCTTTGAACCTAGAACGCGAACGGGAAAATCATAGTTCAGATGTGAGTCTTTGGACCTAGAACTCGAACTTAGAAAAATCTCTATCATCCTTCTTCAGTAATCCAGATCAATTAAATTTGGGGATGTGCTATCCACACATCCCTTTTTACTTCTCACACACCCCTTATTAATTTATGTCTGTTGATCTTCTTCAATTCATCCGATCTGACGGCCGAAAACTAAAAAGGTGTGGGAGAAGTAAAAATGGGTGTGTGGATATCACACCCCTTAAATTTGTTTCAAATCATAATTTCCTCCACAAATTAATTAATTAATGTAAATCTAGCAAAAATTAATTAATGTAAAGCCAACAAGACATGAGATGACATTGAAGTGTACAACTGCTTAACTTCAATATTTTGATATTTTGGGAATAATGATCACTTGCCTGGCATTTAGCTCATGACAAAAATCAAAAGGGCCGTTTTGAAGTATTATATTGGAGTTGGTACCATGATTTCCTTTTAAAATTAATGGACTAGATTCTAGATAATATATAATTTCAAGGAAAAAGATTAATTTCATTAACCATAACTAGAAAACACTATAATGAAAAGCAGATACAATCATAAGATTGATGCATGTAATAGAGACAAACCAACAATCACCACTACTAGCTAGAAACCGATAATATAACAAAAAGTCGAAACTCGAAACAAGGGCCAACCACTAATTTAGAAAAAAAGACCATTCTACTAATTGGATAGCTACTAGCCATGCATGCATGCAAAGTCATGAAACCCTAAACCAAAAATGATCAAGGATGTGGAAGAAGGCCACCAACTCCACCACCAACGCCACCGCCAGCACCACCTAGACCACCAGAGCCACCAGCACCACCTAATCCACCAACTCCACTGAGACCACCAGCACCAGCACCAATACCTCCTACTCCTATTCCACCAACTTTCCCAATCCCTCCACCAATTCCACCGAGAACCGGCATCACCCCGCCAGCTCCAGCAAAACCTCCCATTCCTGCCAACCCACCAACGCCGCCAAAGATGCACTTCTTGTCACGAAGACCAGTAGGTAACTCTGCCACTGGTGCACTTGCATGCACAATCATTGTATGCTGATCAGTTGTGCTTCCATGACCATCATCACCAGGCACCTTGCGTGCACTAGTTGCATGCAGTAGCGCTGATGAAAAAGCAAGCACCAAAATGACACGCCACATCTCCATCTCTCTCTCTCTCTCTCTCTCTCTCTCTCTCTCTCTCTCTCTCTCTCTCTCTCTCTCTCTCTCTCTCTCTCTTGGTGGTTTTGCTTTCTGTGAACGAGACCCTGAATGGGTTGTGCATGGTTTATATAGGGGAGTCCGCCGAATGGTGAAGAAGTGTGAAGGTGGGGGGCGGTTGAGGGTAATAATGAAAGGTTAGGGTTTGTAGTAAATGATGAATGGGGGGAAGAGCTTAGACTTCTTGGATCGTTAATGGTCCCGAGAAAGAAAAAGGAAACCAAAAAAAAAATTGAATGAGGGCATGAAATTTTCGGATCAGAAGAATGGATAGTTAGGTGGAATGAAAAGAAGAGAAAATTTAAGGAAGTGAGTTAAAATCATGGCATTCTTGTTGTGTACTGCCAAATCTGGTTGTGTTTTGTGACCCGTGTGCTCCTAAACGAGGTACACGAATTCCTTTTCTCTGAGCTGGCACTACTAGAAATTATAATTTTGCCGACAAATTATAAGCCAACAAAGCAAAATTTTGTCGGCACAAGAGTCCTTTCTGGACGAAAATTTTAATTTGTCGACTGAATACTCATGCTAGAACCAATTTACAATGCCAATCTTAGCCAAGAAAATTGGAACGTTAGCCGACGATCATTTTGTAGGTGTAAATTCGATGCCCTGACAAATTTTGTTTTGACGGGGAAACTTTGGCGGGAACTTTTCCCGCTGTGTTGAAATATTAGCCGATGATGTGAGGCAACAAAGTATTTCATCGGCAAATTGATTAGAGAGGCAATAAAGTATGTCATTGGCAAGCAAATTGATTAGAGATGCAATAAAGTATGTCATCGGCAAGGTAATAATAACTCTACGTGAGAGGTTTTCACCAGTGCACCTTTCCATTTTTTTCCGGGGAACGCAATCAAAGTTCTTGGTGACTATTTATGCTCTCATTCTCTCTTTCTTGTTTCTCTATACGAACAGGAGCATAGATAAAGAGATATCTAGCATTTCATATTTCTGGATTGTAGTTTTATGCCATCAATAATCTATATTGACAATTTGATTTCATAATATGTGAGTGTTTGAAAAAGTTCTTCCTATCAATTCTAATCCAAACTACTTTCTAGCAACAGATAACTTGGTTTAGGTTATGATCAATTATTAGTCAATTAGTCAATTACAATTGTAAATTTGAATACGGTTGTACATAATCATCCATTCTAATTCGACAAGCATGCCAAGTTTTCTAAAAACATAACATATAATTATAAGAACAAACTTATAAATTTCCCAAGGCAATCCAAATCTATTTTGTCGGTTCACATCCCCCAATTGCATGATCTCCCTCCCATATTCTGCCTAATCCTATTTTGCCGCCTCATGATCTCCCTCCCATAATATTTCTATTATTCCAATTGTCGGTTCACATCCCTCAATTGTCGGTTCACATCCCCCAATTGCATGATCTCCCTCCCAATGGCATGCTAATCCTATTTTGTCGCCTCATGATCTCCCTCCCCCAATTGCATGCTAATCCTATTTTGTCGCCTCATGATCTCCCTCCCAATTGCATGCTAATCCCAATTGCTCATGACTTCCCTCCCATATTCTTCGCTCGCGCCATCTGATTTCAGTTTGATAAGAATTCTTATTTATCTTGTAACAATTTGGCAGGGTCTTTCCCGCTCAGAAACAATTTTGACGATTTCTATCCCTAGGTTTATTTATTCGGGTTCTTGCACTCTTAACTGATTCTAATCCACGTCTCTGCCTCTATCATCTCTCTCCCTTTTCTCACTCTCACGATTGTCTCCATAATTTTGTATTCGAGCGGCTCACGTGGTGGCTTCTTTTATTACTTAATAAGGTTGTTCTTATGTTTGAAATTTAAAAAGACTAGAAATATTATTGCAAAAGATGTAAACATGAATTTTTGGTTAATTTTTCGGCGAAAGATATAAATATACCTTGTTTCACTTTAATAAAAAAAAGGAAAACTAACGAAAAATCTTTAAAAATATCCTGTTATATTTTGGCGGGGATCTTCCCACTCATAGATAATGTATATGAATCAAATAAATGAACGGTTTATCATGAATCTGTTACTTGGTACCAACACCGTCCCTTTGTTTCATACATTTGGATGACTAAACAATATTCGATTCAAATGATTTATCGTATGTATGATCTTTAGATGATGTTCATGGATTTGAAAGGTTTAGATTATGAAATTCGTGTGCCTAACATACTTAATGAAAGTATGAATAAACTCTTAAGTGTTTACACTAGTGGATACCACAAAATATTTACACTAGTGGATACCACAAAATCTTATGTTATTCTTAATGAAAGTATGAATAAACTCTTAAGTGTTAATGAATCTATCGTTTTGATGGGATACACATTCTACGAAGCTAACTTCAATGATCCAACCGTCAAACTTGTTTGTATATGCTTCGAGATCGCATACGCAAAAAACAAATATTCAGAGATCAAGTAATGAGACAAAACTTTTCAACGGTTATCAACGAAAAATCACAATTTAACGGTTATTTTAACTCCGATTTTGATGATTTTTTTCAGCTACACTCCTTGACCCTCTATGAATACAATGAATGAACTCGATCTCCAATTTAAAATATTTACACTAGTGGATACCACAAAATCTTGTGTTATACTTAGTGAAATGATGAATAAACTCTTAAGTGTTAATGAATCTATTGTTTTGATGGGATACGCATTCTACGAAACTAGTTTCAACGATCCAACCGTCAAACATGTTTGTATATGCTTCGAGATCGCATACACCAAAAATTGCAAAAAACAAACATTCATAGATCAAGTAACAGGACAAAACGTTTCGACGGTTATCAACGAAAAATCACGATTGAATGGTTATTTTAACTTCGATTTTGATGATTTTTTACAGCTACACTCCTTGACTCTATATGAATACAATGAATGAATTTGATCTTCAATTTAAAATATTTACACTAGTGGATACCATAAAATCTTATGTTATACTTAATGAAAGTATAAATAAACTAAGTGTTAGTGAATCTATCATTTTGATGTGATATGCATTATACGAAACTAATTTCAACGATCCAACCATCAAACTTGTTTATATATGCTTCAAGATCGCATACGCCAAAAATTGCAGAAAACAAACATTCAGAGATCAAGTAACAGGACAAAATGTTTCGACGATTATAAACGAAAAATCACGATTTAACGGTTATTTTAACTCTGATTTTGATGATTTCTTACAGCTACACTCCTTGACCTTATATGAATACAATGAATGAACTCGATCTTCAATTTAAAATATTTACACTAGTGGATACCACAAAATCTTATGTTATACTTAATGAAAGTATGAATAAACTCATAAGTGTTAGTGAATCCATTGTTTTGATGCGATACGCATTCTACGAAACTAGTTTCAACGATCCAACCGTCAAACATATTTGTATATACTTCAAGATCGCATACGCCAAAAATTGCAAAAAACAAACATTCAGATATCAAGTAACGGGACAAAACTTTTCGACGGTTATCTACGAAAAATCACAATTTAACGGTTATTTTAACTTCAATTCTGATGATTTTTTACACCTACACTCCTTGACCCTATATGAATACAATGAATGAATTCAATCTTCAGTTTAAAATATTTACACTAATGGATACCACAAAATTTAAATGCACGAATTGCTAGCCAGTGCTATTTGAATGTACCATGCATGTCACTCACAATTCTAAACTTAAGAAAACACTATTTAAAAAATTAAAAGGAGGCGCGCGCGGGATAAAAGAGCGGTATCAACATAGACGCGGGGAGTTAGCAAAAAAAATTAAGAATTAGGCGCACGAAGCAGTCATCTCTCTCGGTCCCACTCCTTCTTCCTATCCCTCTCCCTCTCCACCTCCATCTTCGTCGCTGCAATTAGACAGACCAACAGCCTTCTTCCGGTGGAAATCGAAACCATCGTCAAAGTCAAAGCCTAAAAAAGGTTTTTCCCTCCTAATTGTCATCTTCAATTTACGTTTCTGATGGATAAACCCATCAGTTTTCTGTGTAATTCTCTTAGGGTTTTCATTTTTCTTTTTCGATTCTTTTGCGAGTATATTGTGGGTTCTTCCCCTTCTAATTCTCATCTGCAATTGTTTTACCTTCTGCGGGGTGGGGGATGTGGCTGGGTACTATATATGGATTGGTGGAATCTGAGTTCAATTCCATTCAATTTTTTTACTAGAATATATATATATATATATATATATATATATATATATATATCTCTCTCTCTCTCTCTCTCTCTAAATTTGTTCAATTTTCCTATACAGAGGGCGGTTACAAGGTTGGGCTTATATACTGAAGAATCTGATTATATTCTAGACTAGCTGCTTTCTTTGGTAAGGTATGTTGTTACACCATCACCCTCAGCCTATCTTATTCATTGTTGATTGCTGGTCCTAATGAATGTTGCATGTAAAATTAAATTTGTAAACATGTAAACATGGAGTAGATACTTTATATGCCATGGACAGGGAATGGATACGAAATCCGAATCGAGTGAGTAGGGAATATTTAAATGGGATTTCAGAATTTTTGAAAACTGCAAGCAAACATGTCAACGCTGAGGGTTATACTAAGTGCCCATGCCAGAATTGTAACAACTGTAGATTGAAGTCATTGAGAGAAATTCAGCAAGATTTGGGTAGATATGGAATGTCATTCAATTATACTACATGGACTCATGGTGATGATAGTTCAAGCAGTACTACTGATGACGATAGTGATCTGGATTATTAGTAAGTCAATATTTAGTTTGCTCATTGTGTTTTTGTCTAAATAATTTCGTCGGTTTGTATATGCAGTTTCCTTACCACATTAATTTGCTAACTTGTTTGTTTGTTTGTTTTTGTATTCGTTTTCCATGTTTTTATTGGAAAATGAAATAATTGTATTTCCTTTGATTGAATCGCATATATGGATGAAAAACATG